TCTCCATTCAGATTCTCTGTAAATTCCTGATCACAAGGTAATTCAAACAAACAATTCTCACAGATTTTTCTTGGAAGCCCATGCAGGGTTAATCTAAATAGGAGGTACAATATAAAGCTCCACTTTATTATAGGACTGGAGTTCATCCATTGACTTCAGCACCCTTCAGAGTGTAAAGCACATGAGTTCTCCTTTTCTTGTCTAAACTATTTTGAATGAGGTCTCTTACATGCTAGTTTGGCAAGCTTCTAAGGCATTTGTGCAAAGTGATGATCCAAGAGCAACCTGATTCAATACTGAGAAATTCATAAATAACATCCAGCAGTAATTAAAGTGAAAAACTACAGCTAAGAAAAGCAATCTCCTACAGTATCAGTTGAGCTGCTATACCTTGCAGTGTTAGAAGTGGAACGTGTTCACTGGTACCTTCAACTCGGGAGGCATCATTGTGAATTTTAAACACACCAAGGATTCATTCTGATTTCTTTACATAGATTGCATTGGAATAATGATGACTGAAAAACCATGAAGATATGATAGATGTAGATAGAGAAAGGGTAAGAGTGGAAGAAAAACACAGCACCAGAAATTACCATCTGGAAACATAGTAAATATTTAGTCAAATATATTTGTATTAAAATGTAGAGTTAATTTTGAAGACCAGAAAGGTTTTAAGATAACTTAGTGCACTCTGTAAGGCCATTCTCAGGAGTCAAGTGTATAATTATCTGAGACAGGGATATTTAGAACTTCAGATTAAAGAACTGGAATAGCCAGCTGATCTCTTCACCATGTTGATGAGAGTGCTCACACTCTTTCCAGTAAGTACATGCTAAAGTCACAAAAAACCCTGTAAATTTTCTGGATTTTTTTTCTTAGATTAGGGTTAACTGGCAGGTAACAGAACTTATTTGTTCAGTTTTTATATGTGCAAATCCCAACAAAGTAGTAGAATTTAGGTAGCTGGTAGTACAACAAATAATGGGTAGGTCATTGAAATAGCATTTGTAGGCTTTTCTACTTGTTTCTCAAGCTCTCTTCTGAACCATCAGCAGAGCCTGGATTTACTGGGAGGAACACCTGGCCCTGAAGTGGGTAAAACCTAAATCTGTTCCTGTTAGGGTACACCTGTAGCCATTGTGCTGTAGCACATAATCCATGCCTTTCTGGTCTTCAAAGAAGAGGTGAGAGTAGTTGTGGATACTAGTTCATGCTTCAGGAAGAAAAAGTAGCTGGCCCAAAACAACTTGAGACTTAACATGCAAGATCTGGAAAGTAGCCACTGTGTGATATTTGGACTTCAACCTGTGCTTACAGGAATTTCTGTGATTATGGTTTTGACAGCAGCCAGATGTTGGGGGAATTCAGATTTTATACCTTGGCAGGACAGAATAATTCAACTGTGTTGTAGATTATTTGATAATGAAGCCAGGAGTAAAGTGTGAAATTCAGTTCTTGAACTGGGATTGGATAAAAACTTTCCAGTTTAGATGTGCTTGTGGTTTGGACCAACATCTGGCAGTCAGTTTTTGTCTTTTTGTGACTCTAGCTGTAGGTGCTAAACTATAAATGCCACAATGTCTTACTTAGAAAGTTTGCTCTATGCCTCAGTACTAGATACAGGACCTTTAGGACTTCATGTGAGGAACAGTTAAACAAAAACTTGTATGAATAAGGCACTAGTAAATGTTTGCAGCAAACAACAATTACAGTCTATATTCTTTAAGAATAAAACTGTTCTGTTTAGGAAATTGCCTTTAATATGACAGAGTTACCAATGCCAGTTAGAAGGGCCTAGAGAAAGTGCATCTTTTCGGTTATGCCTGTGAGGTCTGTGAGAAACCCCTGAATGCAAATCCCTGTTAAATTAGGAAATAGCCTGTGCAGTGGTGATACTCAGGAGACTGGAAGCAAGAGGAAACTAGTTTAGATTCTGATCCCTGCTAAACTAGTGTGAAATCACTACACTAGTGTGTAATGGATTTGCTTCCGATTTATTACAGTGGTAGAAGGATCTGAAGCCAAAAGTGAGGCTGCTTTAGCAAATCTAGTTAAACAGTAACAGCGCTGGCCCAGGCCAAATAATTGGCGATAATCCCCTTAGACAGTTTCAAAAAATCATCTGGTATTTTAAATTTCCTATTTGCTGAAGTCCAAGGATGCACTTTTTCTTTCAGCTAATGTAATAGAGCAAGGCCTTATGTCCTGTTTTGGAGCTGATGCCATTCTAAACAGTTATTACAGTATTGATCCATACTTTATACCAAATGAAATTTGAGTCTGCCATTCCATTTATAGGATGGCTGGCCACTATTTCACATTGAAAGTTATTAAAAACCACATAAATTCTTCCATTCATAAAACCAAAACATACTGTCACTGTTAAAAAATGCTTTTATGTACCTGCTCATTGAGGGGGATCATTGAAGCACCAAGAATGTTTATCTAGCCAATAAGAAAATATTTGCAAACTAACAGATCTTGTTAGCATTCATGATCTGCATTTTCCCACGATCCGTCCAGTAAAACTATTTTACCATTCATTTGTTATACTAAATCAGTCAATGGTCAGTCTGATTTCATCAATAAATCCTGCTTTGTAAACAGCTTCGCTTTATCATCTGACAAATTTGTGTTCCACTCAGATCCTCCATTATTTATACAAGATGTAATTTAAAAAACTTAAGACATTTGCAGTATCCATAATGCAAAAAGAGGAAAAAACCCTACATTGATTAATTACTGTATATTATTGCCATTAGGTGCTAACAACTCCAGACAATGGGGTTTTTTTGTTTGCATGAATTATTTTGTGTTTTATGTAAGGACATGACATTAAGCTTATCTCAAACTTTAAGATCGCCCATCCCCAAGGACCTCAGAAACTGTACAACTATCTCAACCAGCTTTTAAAAATGTGATGGGCTTTTGTTTGTTCATTTTGTGGGTTGACTCACAAGACTAAAGTTATTGGTGGTGTAACTCAGCTGAAATTTTCACCAGAAATTAATCTGGACTAATATTCATGTCTTAAACAAAAAATCCACAACATGTAAGTTAAGTGCTGGGAATCTCTCTCCCATACATAATATACATACACTAAATTAAATACAGAAGGAAGAAAATCCAGAAATTTCTCCTCAAAAAGATCTTTCCTCATAGCAACTCAGAAAATATTTTTCTTTTAAAATCTTTGTTTCTTATCAGTATGTCAGATTATATGCTTTTCTGTGTGTGTGTGTGAGACTAATACATGGCATGTATTACTATTATCTGAATATCAGAAAATGTTATTGACTATTGGAGCTGTGCAAAATATTTTCTGTAAAAGTTGACAGTCTTAGAAGTTTTTTTAATTTATCATTATTTTCAGTAAGATGATGTAAATCTTTGCAATTGCAAAATAAACAGATTCTTTGTCAAAAGTGTGCCTTTTGGGATCATAATTTATCTTGTGGGGTATCTCTAGCTGACAATTTGAGGTTGTGCATATGTTAATTTATTAGAATTTCCTAAGCTGTGCTCACTGTAAAATAAATTTTAATTTTTTACCTTGTAAGTGTAAGCTACGTTTTGAAAGTCAAGGTGGATTTTTAACTTCTTCTTAAGATTCAACTAATACATTGGAATGTGGTTGGGTTTCTTTCTCTTTTTGCCCTCTGCTTTTGAAGTGTGCCTTCAGGAGATGAGAAGAAAAGTCATCATTTTGGAAAAGGTTCTGTGAATATTTAACAAAATGAATGCAGTTTGCTTTCAAGGCTGTATTTCTTCAATGGAAGCAGAGGCAGAGTACTGAAACATTTTTATTATGAAACTATGCTATTATATCTCTGACTGGAGAAAAATCTGTTGTCAAACATTTGTGTATTTCTTCTAAGAGCAAACTCACACTTTCATAAAAGAGTTGCTCCTTGGTCCAATTTAGTTGTGACTGCAGAGGCACACTTTTGACACCAACTAAAATTGTGGTCTAAATGAAGGCATCACTTTTCTGTCCATGCAGGTGTATTTGTCTATGTGGATGACATTTTAACAAAAAAAAAGTCACTTCCCAATTTTTATGTCTTTTTAAAATAAAAGGTAGGAAGGGAAATTCTTCAGGTGTAAAACCCAATAAAATTACTGTATGATCATTTAACAACAATTATTCCATGATTTTGCATAACCCTTGGCCTTTCTAAAAAGCAGTATTTGATTTTGAGATGTGCATTGGTTTAAGAATGAGTCATCACATATCTGCTGACTCACATGTGATAAATATTTAACTTGGGGAAGAAATTTTCTTAAGATTACAAAAACATAAAAAAAAAAAATAGTCCTAGGTTTTAGCTATTAACCCAGAGATTTTCAACGTTAGATGAAATGCATGTACTTTGAAAGAACTATTCTGTTGAAATGAATCCACAGTACTTTGATAAAAAAAGTCTGAGAGGCTTTAGGGAATAAGACAAACTTGATGAGGCCAACCCCAAGTCCTCAAAAATGTCTCATACTGTTCGGAGATGAATGAATTACCAGTCCTGTAACTCCAATGTATTTTAAGGCTAGTTAGAAGACACGGAATAGTGATACTCAAAGCAAATGCTCAAAACCAGGAAGTATTTTTATGACAGGGTAGTTATTTAAAGGGAATTATTTATATGGGTGAAACTTTACTTATTCTTTTATATTTTCTATTACAGTAAACCTACCATCTATTTGTATGTCAATAATAACTGATCTTAGAACGCCATTTCATAGCCTGAATCTTCATTTTGCCTCACCGTTTGTTCTAGCCAGGTTGGCAATTGGGGAAAGTCCTAGAACAGAAACATTGACACGTGCTGATAAATTCAAATGTGGAACATTAAAATTCACATGGAAGCGGAAATGACATTCAGTGTCAGAAGTAACAAAGTCTTTGAAAGTCTTAAATAATTCATATAGAGAATATAGGTTAGACAGATTTAATATAAGTGTGCTTTTTCCTAAAAACACCCCCCCAAACCAAACTTTTTTTTTTTTCTTTTTAAGTCTTTTGTCTGTAAATATGAAAGAAGGCTACACCCCAACATAATTCTTCATTGTCGTACTAAACGGTAAAATAGTCTTTCTAATTCACATTGCTCATGGCAGTCTTATTTGAAGTTCCTTTATTGAGTTTGTGGTTAAAGCAGTTTGGGATTTTTGTTGGTTGTAAACTTTTGGCATAATGTGAATACCAGTCCCTTTCAAAAACAGCCTTGAGTTGCTTAATGATGCTTGTGCTGTTCCCCGCGTCCGCTTGGTTGATAACAAGGCCAGCTCCAGCATTCTGTGTAAAAGCATTTCCCACCCAATCAAAATTACCTGCAAGCAAAGCCAGGAATAAATAGTGAGTTTCTAACATTAAAAAAAAAAAAAACAACAAAAAGAACCCCAAAAAACAACAAATAAAAAACTCATCTCCCTAAAGGCAATCCAGAACCGTTTTCCCCAGTGCAGAGATGGAAGTTACTTTTTTTTACTACCAGCAGAAAAAAAAAAAGCTCCAATACATACCATGCGTAGTGAAGACTGCTTCTGGAAGTTTGAACAGCTCTTAGCCTTCAGAAGTGAAAACACGTTCTTCTGTTTATTCAAAATTAATGTGCTCTTCCTTTTACATCTATTACATTATTACTCCATTTACTTTCCTCACTGGCCTTTTCAGTGCTAAGAATGATTTTTTTAATGTATAAACAATTCAAAGTTCCAAACCAGTAGATATTTTACAAATTACCTGTTGACAGATACTATTTGAGGAAAGGAAAATAGATTTTACTGGTTTAGGCATTATTACAATCTTTCTTGAAATCTAAGGTAACAAATAAGTACTTTGAATCCTGGGGATAGCAGGGCAAAAAGGATAATTGGACTAATGAAAAACAGGTCAAACAAATGCTCCAGTTACTTTTTTTTTTTTGTATTTCATTAAAACTCTAAATACTATTTTAAATTATACAACTAAAACATGCAGTATTTTGGACAAACAAGGCTGTTACTTCAGCAGGAAATGTTAATACTTTTACAGTTGCCAAGGATTGTAAATTGAAACATCATCACAAGGGACAATTTTTCCTATGCTTTCAAGTGAAAGATGTAGCTGGTCCTTAGCAGGCATTTCTATTACTTTAACAGAACTTTGATAATTTCTTTCTTTTATTTATATGTAGCTAAGGATGCAAGTACAATGGGAAAGAAAAAATCCAACTTGGCTGAGAATCTAAGCTATGTAGATGAGTTCCAAGGGACTGAGATTTGATCCAGCTATATGAAAGAATTTAAAATGGAGTGGAAAAAATTATCTGGGAGAGGGGCAGGTGAGTATCATAAAACCTTCTGGAGATGAGGGAGGAATGAGCTGCAGTACTGGATGTAAAAAATACGACTTGGATAGATTATGAGGTGTGTGTTTCGAGCCCATCAGGGTGGGCTTTTCACAAAAGATCTCAGTTGTATTTCTACATAACTTGGAATGCCCCACAGTTGATGTGTGTGGGCTTTGCTTTTGGATTGCAGCCTTTGCCTCCCCTCACTGCCTCTGCTATCATGGGCAGTAAGTCCCAGCAGTGTGTCAGTAACATCCCTAAAGCATCAAGCTGCAGCACATCAGATGGCTTTTAAAAGTGTCATGAGCTGCTTTTGAACTCAGTAGTGGTTTTCTTACACAGCTTACACACAACTCAGATTTTTCAAAAGGTAGTTTTCAGCCTGCATTCAGTGGGCTTTTGACTGGTAATGAACTTTTGTAAGGTGCCACACAGCAATTTTACTTAAATACACCTTTAACCCAAAATACCATTTAGATATGTACCTGATGTTAGGAGGGTAGCAAATGGAGTAAGGTTTTGGATGATGAGGATGAACAGCATCTGTACAGTATTTGCCTGGATTGACCATAGCTTGAATAATAACATGGGGAAAGAAGAACACTCCATTTTCATTGGACTGTAGAACATTAGAATATGCTAATCATCATAGCTACTTCATAAATTGTGTTGTATTTGTGTTTTCAGAATGCTGGTCTTGAGAAACTGATTCAGAGAGGAAGAAAAGGTTTTAAATGAGAAGAGTCTCAAAGTTCAGTCATCATCCAGGTTCCCAAAGGAATTAACTATTTTCTTCACCTAAAGAATATATCAGCTGTAGCTTGCTCATCTACAAAAGGTTGTTATTTCAGGCTTTTGGATACAACTAGAATTTCTTGAGGTGTAGTTACTTACCAATATAAGCAGCTCCATCAGTCACCATGTATTTGTTACGATTCAATTTGGGAAGAGAAGTGTTCTTCTGTTCTTTAAGAAAGCAGGCACTCTCTTCCTCAAGGTCAAAGAATTTCTGCCATAAAATAGAAGGAAGCACAGGTTAATGAGAATTGCTCTGTAAGAGACAGAAAAAATACAGTCCATTCTCTAATCTTTATTGAAAATGAGTTGGCACTAGAGAACAGCTTAAGTTTTTATTGCCAAGCATTAACTTTAATAAAATGCTGCACATTGTATTTCCAATTAATTCTCATAGTTTGTGGTACTCCTGCCTTGGCATTCTGAACTATACAAAGTGTATGGCTACTGCATGCTAAAAGCAATACAGTGCCAGTAGTAAAGGCTGTAAAATGAAACCCCCCCACCTCCCCCCATCTTTCTGTTCTCCATGCTAAGAGCCAGGAACTTATTTCCTCATTTTTCAAGGATACTGGGCTTTGAAGTCTGCTTCAGGATTAGGATCAGCAGACACTGTAACAGCTGAATTAATACCTCTGCAATCATATATTGCATAGTTTCCAACAGGAAACTTGCCATTTCAGAAACTTAGAAGCTTCTCAGGATTAAATTTGGTATGAAAAGAGAAAATTTTCCAGGCAACAAGAGGAAAACGTTTTACCCTGGAGAGTAAAGTATGAGTAAGATTTATTTATTCATTTGTTTGTTTATTTATTTAAAAGTTTAGAGCTATATGCACTCCTTGTCTGATCAGTACCAGATAAAAATCAGCAAGAATACACCTGCACAACTCAAAAACAGATTCATGTGGAGGCTCAAGAATAACTTGGCTGTAGATAGATGTCTGTTCCATGCCACTCCTTTGTGTTTTCCAGTTGTCCACAGACAATTTTGTTCTAGGTCATAACTTCTGTGGCCCCTTTCAAAGCACACACCTTTCTCTGTTCAGCACTGCACCCAACAGAGCTGGCCCCTTCCTGCTGCTCCTTTGAGAGTCAGACCAAGCATTCGTGCAAGCAAGATGGGTTTACAGGGTCAAGTACAAAAACTTAAGGAATACAGGAATTAAGGTCCCAAGAAGCACAATGGTGAGCTCTTCACCTTGAGTCTGCCCTTTCTGATTCAAGCTTTAATTTCAGAGCTCCCTGCTTCAGCAGCAGTTTGATATGCAGGTTACTCCTTGCCCTGTGGCTGTGTGCTTATAGCATTTAGTTAGTCCTCAAACAAAGTTTTCTAGGTGCAAGTCCTTTCAGTGATCATTTTCTTCAGAGTATTTGTATTGAGTTTGCATTCTCAAAACAGTTTCAGTCGATTCCAGTAAATATTAATGCATATGTGAATGGGACTCTGAGATGCTGAAAATGCCAGGTGTAACAGGGTTGCAGCACCCTGCTTCTAACTCTATACTTGCAGTTAGGCAATATCAAAACTTGGCATTAGCCTGGTCAGAGACCAGCAGAAATAAGGAGGAGATCCCCATCTAACAGAGAAATTACATCTGCATCTCCTTCTCCAGGATGACCACTGGCAAACCAGTGTACCCTGCAGCTGCAGCCAGCTATTGGCACTCACTGAAAACTTTCAAGCCTGACTAGTCTTTCCATAGGGACAAGAAAAAAAACCAAAAAACCAAAACACTAAACAACAACAAAAAGAAGGAAAACAATCAAGACAAAGCATATCACAAAGATCAAATGCTAAATGAAAAATAAGAAGTTACTGAGTATGCTTTGTAGGATATATTATCCCCAAAAGAACAGAACAGAGGGATAGGAGGTTACGTGGTGCAGGTGTGTGTGGCATTTTGGTCAGAACCAATACAATACAGATGTATTGCAGCAGCCTAGCAATTTTAAGTGTAATTTCAATCAGAATTTGCAACAGGTTTCTCTTAAAATTTCAGTGGTGTTGTACATAAACACACACAGTATATGTCTGCAAGACAGTATTTTTTGTACTGAGGTTAGTTTATGTTTTCTCATAGCCAAAGCAGAACCAAGAGGGAAAAGGAGTGTTTTCAATAGTTCAAAAGGTAATTTAGTTTTTAGCTTGTTAACCTATTCTTTCTCCTCCATACACACATATAGTTTTGTTTCACTTTGATCTCGGCTGTAACAGCTGAGCACAAAAGAAATGCAGTTTTAATAAGCAGTTGCTCATCTGACATGCTTTTTGAGTTAAAAGAGTATGGAGCCTATGGCATAGTTTTCAGCCAAAATCAAATGGATACCAGCAATCTCTGAGCCTTGGGCTATTACTCATACCAAAGTTTATTTAAGGCAGTGGCTCACCCAGACTGGGAAATGTGATGTACAGCACAGAGGTAACTGACTTAGTGTTGTACCTTTGTAACTCTCTACAGCTGATTTTTTTACTGGAAGTTGTTTTTGTATTTTCTAACTACAGAGACACTAGCTGGACTATTTACCTAGAGCAGTTTTTTTTTCCTTTTATCATTTAGCTCTTGACATGATAAATTCTGTACAAAAGATTTTACCTGCTGTAAATAGATGACAATGGATATAAGGCACCACTTGGAAAAAAATTCTGAATACATAAATAAAATTTTGATGATAAATATGGAGCAAGCTAGAGGTTACTTAAAATTGAAATGGGTTAAATAGAGTCAACTACGTATGGGTTTTTCTTACTTAAAATCACACTTTACGCTGCTTTTTTACTGAGGAAACTTATAGTAACAACATACATTATAACAAAAACCCTATTTCTAGATATGCATAATACTGCTTATTGTGTATAAGAAATAGTACTTCCTTTTCAGAATTGTTGTTCATTTTCAAAAATCCAGAAGGATTTATGGGCTCAGCAATTTAGGAAATCAAAATAATTCAGCAGATTATTTAGAACTGTTAACTGGAAAAAACAAAACAAAAAACCCCCCACTAACCCCCCTCTAAGATCCAAGGTGGCTGATTTCCAGTGTGCCTCAATTTCATAAAAGTGAACGGTATCACACTGGAAGTAGCACTTACCATACATTCTGTTCTCTAATACATTTGGATGGTATTTTTCACTTTCCTTTACTGCATGTCTAATGTGGCCCCAGAGTGGTGTTTCTGGTTTTCACAATTTTGAGTTTGTAGTCTGAGTTTAACATAAAACCCTCATTATTTTTTCTTGTACTTTGCACTTGACTGAAGGAAAAGTCAGTGCTTACACAGCTTAACAGTAAGGTTATGTGAATACAGACTAAATAATACTTTCATGCTGTCAGATTAATTCTTATCTCACAAGATAAACACGACTAGTGGCTACAGTTCACTCTGGTGGCTTTGCTGTGAAAGACCACGTGATGTTTTGCATTGGCTGTCCATCACACCGACTGCCTTTTGGCACCAATATATTTTTCTGTCTTAATTTTGAATTCTGCTACTATTAGGAGTAAATTATGCTCAATATTTTACATTTCTTGATATTTAATTAAATTCAAAGACTCTGACAATAACAGAAAAAAAAGTCCCAGTTCTTATGCTTTCTTGACTTTTTTTTTTTTTTGGGAGGGTAATATCTTATATTTTGAAGTAATATGGATTATACTTACAACTTTCAAACTACAGCTTGGAACTTCAGTGCAAATAGCTTTCAGAGATGAAACAAAGTTAAAAGTAAGGGGATCTGTGTCTCTTGAGAAACTTATGAGAAGTCGTACTTTAATACTTCGTAAAACTAATGCTTCTCTTATCTTCCCATCTAAATATGGCCAGTACCTGTGGATAAAGAAGACAATATCTGCTGAGAACTTTTGAAACTTTAAAAAATTTGGGAGAGCCGCAGCCAGAGGGCGCTGCTGGCCAGCCCAGCCACGGCCACACAGGAATTTTTTCCCTGGTGGCACAGGTCAGGGGACTGGAACACCGGATCTCTCCCTGGCTGACATCCCTTGTTCAACCCCTATGCATTGGGACCGTGCGGGCTGGGGACTGGAATGCCTTCTGTAATTTCCTCCTGGGGAAACAGAGCTGCTGTGCAGGGTGCCTGCATCCTTTAGGAACAGCAGAAGAGATGGGTCACTGAAGGAGGATGAGGATGCTGTTTTGTCCTGATGAAGATTGCAGAAATTCTGTCAGGAATGGGATAGTGGCTTCCGTGGTGCTGTTCTCACAACTGATAGTTAGCTTTATATTCCTGACATGTGGGGGGAGCAGGTCAGGCAGGGAGAATGAAACTAAGAAAAATGCATGTTTTCTGCATTCCAGCAGCATCAAAACATCTGGGCCAATGAAATCTGAGCTCTACCATGCCAGAAAATAACTTACAAGCACGAACTGGGAGCTGGCAAGGTAAGGAAGCTGCGGCAGTGCCTCAAACACAAAGCCATTATGAAAGAAAAACGCTGAAGAATTCACATAGGTGCTTCCCTGGATCTCCCTAATCCAGTAAATTTCTGAATTCTTCCACCATAAGAATAAAGTAAGGAGGAGTATAGGAGATAACACAAACTGCAATGCTGTAGTGGTTCTATATACTAAGAAGCTTTCCAATATAAAGAGAAATAGGAGGGATACATATAGTGAAACTGAGGTTCCTACAGCACTGCCCACAATTCTTTCCCTATGATGGAGGCTGTACATAATCAGTTTATTGGAAAAACTCTCTCACAGACTTAAAACAGTTTATGCTTAGTATCAGTCACATGATAATTCTTTTTTGAAAAATTTGAACAGAACAGCTCTAAATAGAAAAGAGTACATAATCACAAGCTTAATTTGGCTTAACTGTGTTCAAATAAAATGCATAGATGGAATAGCAGCCTTTGCTAGACTCTAAATTCATTGTGAGCATTATCAACAGTAGGAGGGACCAGTGGTACTTGCCTCCTGAGCTGGATGGTTTTGATGCACTCTGGCTCCAATGTTGTGCCCATGAGTGCTTTTTAATGGTCCATAGAAACTAGCTATTCGAAAATTATGTGGTTTTGTTTGGTTTTAGCACCTCTCAAACGGTGTTTAACCAAATTATGATATCATTCAAACGTAATCTATTCTGAATTGGGAATTTTCGTTTATATCTGTAGCCCACACTGTATACTAGTCACAACACATTATCATAACACACACACACACTCACACACACATTTTGTCATGCAGAATATCTGCACAATCCTCATAATATGCCAGTAGTTGTGGTCTCAGAATTGTCAATATAATAGTGTAAAATATAGGATTCATGTATAAGCAGACTATTATATTCCTGGGTCCCAGTCACATGCAGATGGTCAGACTAGACAATTTCTGATCTCCTTCAACAGGCAGATCCAAAGCTTAGGACCCAGAACTGGAAATGTCCTCTTAGGTCCCAATTCTGCTCCCATTTAAGTCAATGGCAGGACTCTCACTGATTTCAATAAGAGCAGAATTGGGCCCCAAGAAACGGGTGCACAGTGGTAACTAGTCTCCTGTGGGTTCATTTTCTCCAGCAGACCCTACTGGCATTATGGCAACCAGCTGGGCCCAGACCTGGACACTCACCGTTTAGCGTTGGTGTCGATGACAATGGGCAAGTAGTCCATGACAGCAATGTACACAAACTGTTTGGCATCATCAATAACACTGTAGATAGCTTCAATATCCAAGACTCTGTCCTTGGGGCAGAAGAGTTTAGGTGAGTTCTGTGAAAGGAAAAGTTCAAATATGGCATTAAAAATAACTGATTTATTTTTGCTCCCCCTCAGTCTTCCTGAGATGATAAGTAGCATCCATTATTTTAGCAGAGATTATTAACTAATACCTTCAGCCATCCTGCTAGAATACTCAAAGCTACAAGGGCGAGCTACTTGCTTACTTGGCCCCCAAAAGCCTCACCATTTAGATGTAACTGTGGGTAAAATGCAGAAGACACAGACTTTAAAACATCCGCTGTCATCAAAGAAGCTGTAATTGAAGTTACATTTCAGAGAATTTTGTTCCAAAGAGCCCCAGGACTGGTTTCTGTTAGATTAAGTGTTCACATGTTCTTGCCACATGAGCCTGATCCTTCATTTGTGAGCAGGAATTGTTTTATGTCAGTTGTAGTGAGATGTTGCAGTTTCTGTAAGAAACTAATCTTTAAATCAAAGTTTCAGGTATAAATTACCCAGTAGAGAGCTGGTAACTGGCAAGCCCAGATTGCAGCTTTTCTGCCTTTTATCTGGGGCTGTCAAAGACAAGGTGAAGCCAGTGGAAATTGCTCGTCTGTGGCACATGTGTCCAGGACTTTCTACTCTGCTGCACAAGCAGGGAGACAAAAGTGAATCCCCCTTCCAAGTGGCTTGCAGGCAAGAACTTCATTTCTAGGACAGAGGTTGTTGAAGGCACTTTAACCCAGCTGGAACAGATGTTTTCCTGCCACTGTATCACCTTCTCACCTTTGTTACTTGCTTGGGTTCCAGCTGACATCCAGATGAGTATCTTTCCTTTAGGGACAGATCCCAGGGGTTTTATTAGTCTTCCTTAATTTCAGTACACTGCCTGTCACAGTGGTTCCTTATTACTGACTGGTGTTCTTAAGGATTTACTATAACTAAGTACAGAAAATACTAGAAAATTAACCGTAGCAAGATTTCAAGACCAGTATTCCAGATCCATTCCTGAACACTAAAAAACCAAAACCCCTTACACTTTATCAGCCAGTCTGGAAGATGAGTTTGTTGCTAAGCAACACTAAGCCATGATTCCCAAGTATAACAAAAAAATTCAATGACTGCGTATTACTTGTTTTATATAGCACAAACACTGAAATATGTTCTCAAAAAATGAATTTCAACTCATGAAAAAAGTGTAAAGTGATTTCAATAGAGTTAAATAATTAATTTATTTCAATTATCTGAAACTTTTTGGAGGTTATTGCACCGAGATGTTATTCTTAGCACTTGTATTATTTTCTAAAACTTTTAAGGTACAGAATGGCTGAAAAAAGAAATTCTCATGCGCTTGTCTTTCTCGGATGCGTTCAATATAAATATCAGAAAGTGAAAGATTTCTTGAAGATAATTATAAGAAAAATCTCAGTAAAAACTCTCACTACAGCACTGTGCTCCAGCATTCCACTTGTTAGTCTGTGGCACGGCTGATCCCTGCCCCGCAGCCATGGACTGGTTTAGGGCTTGTCTCCATTTGTGCAGCACTTGCTGTTCTGATCAACTACTCCCTCGTTCCTTCTCTTCACCTACCAGGAACAGGCCTTTGTTCTGGCTGGGAACAGCACCTTTCCACGCCCCTGCTCAGGGGTGTGTTATCCTGAATCCACAGAGAGGCAGCAGCCTGTCTCTGCCCCAGGCAGGGCTGCCACAGCCACAAGGGAACTGCCTGGCTCCTGGGAACTTCCTTCTGATCATCAGCTCAGGAACACACAGCAGATTAACACTCGGCCCACCAAGTCAGTCCCAAGCAATTCCGGGACTGTGTTTCAGAGGGTCATGCTGGCAAACACCGAAAATTTTCTAGTGGGTGAGAAATGTATGGAAGAGCCTGTTTTCAGGAAGGAAGAACCAGCCCAAGTGGCTGTGGATACAAATCCAGGTAGCTCTTGGTGTTGGACTTCAGTGATCTGAGCTTCTGATTTTGAAGGGGTGGTTTACACTCATGTAATTACCCCCAATATGAATGATACTCCATATTCTCCATCATCTCTATCTCACTGGGTACATTCTTCCAGTTTTCCTACATCACATGTGAGATAGAGGAGTCAGTTTACTACCATTAAAAATACGTGCACAGACAGTGCTTCCATGGGGATCACTGCCTGAATTTCATGAGTTTTAAAATGTCATTTAAAAATAAAGCAGAAATAGATGATCTCGTACAGAAGTATAAATGCTTTGCAATAGGGTCAATCCTTATAAATTACATTGATGAAAATGCAAGCTGTGATACCAAGTTTATTCTGTATCATTTTCTATGTCTGAGTAATGGTTCGTTTACTCCCAAGTCATTCATGTTCTACCTATTAGTTGAACGAATTTAATTTGAAGGGTCTCTATTATTTTCTGAACATTAGTGGAGAAGTGCTGAACATTACAAAGAAAGGGAAATTGAATAATGCTCAAATGAAATCCTACAGCATCTTCTGTCCTGGCAAAATGCATGTCATAGAAACCACAATTAAAAAAAAAATATTGTGATTTTTCAAATGTCCAGGCCTCTCAAAGATCTTGTGGGTTAAATAAATTTCTTCCCTTTCCCCTCCCCACTCTGGAACTCATTTCAGAACTTACCGACACAAAAGCTTCTGATTTTGTCTCGTTCAGCTGCAGTGTCAGTTTGTTTTGAGTATCATACACTCCATAGAGTCTCTTAGACCAACTTGGAGGTATTTTGTTCTTGTACCTTAATGAGCTATACAGGGCAAATATCCTTTGCAAATCCAGGACCAGGCAGCTACAGTTGTATACGATGACGCCAAGTTCCTTCATCTGTGAAATTAAAAGTTGGATCATTAGTGATACTTCTGCTGATGGATCTGTGGAAGTATGCAGCAAGAACACAAAAATCTCACCTTGGGTACCCCAGTTTTCTGGGCATCGGTTTCTTCACATGTTAAAAGGGAGATAATGACACTTTTTTCTCACTGAAAGTACTCAAAATTCTCACAAATAAATTATGAGGAGAAATAGTCCAAGTAAATACAGACAGCAGAGTATAATTAAATTCTTTAGCCTTCAACAGGCACAGTCGACTTCTCTTTTAGGTAAAAGAATGTCTCCTGATCATCATAAATCTTGTTTTGGCAGAGATTTCATTAATTGTACACCCCCAGAACCTAAGTTGTTGACAGAATTTCATGCTGAATGTATTGTCTGGCTTTTGTAATCAAAGTGTAACCACATGCTCACTCTCTTCCCTTCCTTTGCTTTAGAATAGCTTAAGAAAGGACTGGTGTGGGCTTGGATGCTACTGACCTCTCATTACCTATATTTAACAACAGTTCAGCCATCTTCTAAAACAAAGCAAGAAGAAAATCTGCATGTATCTGTTGGAAAGCCATATGTAGGATAAATATTTAAAGGATCCATGCTGGTTCTCTGCAGGCAAAGTCTCTCGGAAGCATGCCTGCAAAGTCTGCCTGGCATGATGAAGAAAATAAGGGTAATATGAACTCTCCAGCATGCTTACCCTTTCACTCCAAAATATTCCTACTGATGTTATTCCCCTTAGATGAGATCTCCACAGTCACACAGACTAGTTTCTGGTAAAAGCATATCTTTCTATAAAGCCCGTGGGAACTCTGAACCCCGCACTGACGCTGTCTCAGAGCTTGTTCCAGTGCAATTCTCCCTGACTGCACATGAGAACCACTCTGCAGGAGTGGGCAGAGGGAAAGCAAAAGATAGAATTGAACCTTGACTCTTTCTGTGGTGGGTGAGCAGAAACAATAAACACCAATATGCCAGTGAGAAGGAAATTCGATCTGTGACACATTCTTCATGTTCCCGACCTGGAAATACCACATACCTAAGAATACATAACACTGAGCTATCTCCTTCCTAAATATTTGCCAAACAGTTGCAGCCACAGGCAAGACCTAATATTATTACTACCTAAATCAGAGTATTTCTGCAAGCTTCTTTAATCTGTTAGCCTGCACAACCTGAAATTTGTGGACAGTTGGAAAAAACAGACATACTGCATTGCAGCCTTTCATTTCTGGATAAGCCAGTAAATTAATTTTGATACTAAATATAAATATGACCAACATCCTAGCTGAAGAATCTGTTTGGAATAACATCCTTAATTTTTCCCCTGGGTGCTGGTTTCTTTGAGGATGCTCCTGTATTCAGCTCTAGACTGTCCCCGTAGTCTGGGCACTATTTGTCTCCAAATATTTTTAACTATACATTATCACTGTTTTCACTGTGTGCTGCCAATACAGCTCTCTTAATTGCCAGGCATGCCATCGCAGAGGACTTGCTAATAGTACTCTGTTATATGTATCTGCATAATGTGGTTTAATCGGCTTTTCATGGCTGTTAGTTGATTCTAACATAATTATGTGGTTACAGTTTTCCTTTCATTTATCAGTCCCATTATTACCATTCCACTTTATCCCTTCTATTAAAAGTAAAGATGAAAGGGTCCTCACTGCACACCAGAAGCTGCCAGGATTGCATCTGCATGAGCAACAGGAGCGCCTGCAGTGCGTCCCCTCCCTGTGAATTAAGAGATTGCCCTCCTGCCTAAGTGGCTCCTCATGTAGAGATGGGGAGGAAGCCAGGGGCACTAATGCGTTTTGTTAAATGCCACTTTCCCAGATCACCGCCTAGCCGGAGCGCCAGAGGCAGCATTAGGACACCTTAGCGCCAGCCTCTCCCGGCGCACAGGAGCACCGGGAGCGCAGGGACCGGACCCTGCCCCGGAGCCGGCTCCAGCGGGATCCGCGGGGCTGCCCGCCCGCAGGGAACGGGCTCAAACCACGGGCTGCAATGGAGCCATCCCGAGATGTGTTTACAGCGCAGTAATGAACGCTGCCTTCCCAAGTGCCTTCTCAAGGCACTGACCAAAGCTTTTCCTGCTCCTGAAGCTGCTGTAAGAGCTTTTCCCCAGGGGGATTCCCTAATACACGATAGAGGCAGAGCTCCTCCTTTCCCTCGCTGGGAAAACACAGATATCCTCTGCTGCTTGTTTTCATTAAGCTTTTATAAACTTAAGTTCAAATTTGACTCAACCTGAACAGCAGACTGAAAGCCATAGGAAGAGGGCAGACAGCGGCTCTGATGCTTGCTGCGCAAACCGAATTTTCTTAAGAAACCGGCTTAGATGTCAGCCTGTCACTTTGTGACCCTCTCAGCTTAGGTGTGGTATATCCCCTTGAAATGCAAACAATACATGTATGTAGTAAAACCCCACCTTTTCCTTTCTTGTGCAACAGCCTCAATAAGTTTAGAGACAAAAACATCTGCTTCAGAAGCATCTTCTACGCCGAGCCTAGTTTTACTCCCATACTCAGAGCTGAGGAGAAACTGCTCTCCCTCCTATTAATCATGGAGCTTATAATTCCGGAGGCATAGGGGGCAGCAAGGATGTGGTAGTGGCAGATTTAGTATGAAGTGGTATGATATCTAGATAAGGGAAAAGACTTTTCCTTCCGTTTGACAGCTGCTGTCATTACAAACTTTTTTTTTAGTAGTCTCAGAGGAGCAGCAGAAAAAAACATCTACATTGTAAGAATCAAAATCTGAGTGTTGCTCCCTGGCTTGTCATCATGAAAACCTTCAGCTAAGCATCATCTGAGGTATCTGTTAAGGTAAAAACCCTTCAGGGCAAGAGCTCTTGAGGCAAGAGAATTATTTCTTCATCCTGCATTTTAAAAGTAATTAATATAGCAATGAAAATGTCACTGAAAAATTAAAGTGAAGAAGATCTCAAAAAAATCAAAACCTTAATGAAACGAAGCAAGATAAATGTGAAATGAAAACACAGAGTGACAAATTTGATTACCTCAACATGGAACAGAAGTTTTTGGATGGTAAAGTTGTACAGTTGCTTGTGAGAGACATTTCCAGGGCATGTGTCAGGGCCTGGGGAAAGGAATGGTTATCTCCACAGAGAATTTTGTGTCCTCTCTTCAGCAGGTTTCTTCTCCTCTTTGTTAAGAACTACCATGCATGCTCTAACCAAATAATGAAAATATGGGAGCTGGTTTTCTTTGTTTTTATCCATGCCATTTACATTTGTGTAGAGCAACTGTTAAAGATTACCAAATTATTGTTTGACTTTCTTGCCAATAAGGGCTTTCTTAAAGCACCAAAGGAGTGAATAATTATACTTGGCTTAAGAAATGTAGTCTCCTCCCACTGTACAATGATACTCTAACTACAGAACTCAGTTAAGCTATGAAAAGTAATTAATATGGCCTAGACAGAAAAATAGTAATTTTTATGACAAGAGGAGGAATTCCTTGCTAAATTAGACAAAAAGCAGCATTTCACAAAGAGGAATTTTTAGTTATTCTTTTTTTAGGTACATTCATAGGCATCCTATCCAAAAAGAAGAAAAAACATGGGAGAAGAACCTAAACAATCCAGGCTGTGGACACAGAGCACTGTAAGATTCCTACCCTCAGAAGCAATGCTAGCAGGACTTTTCAGGTATGTTTGGTTCACGGCCAGAGAGGGTGTACAGTGTGTCCTTGCCCTGCACTGTGCAGACGAGACAGCTCATTTTATATTTACCTTGAGCTACACTGAGAGACAACCCCACTGTGTAGGCAAGCCACTATTTGACCTACATAAGAGTGGCACAATCTGGTTCACAGCTTGCAATATCTGAGTTGTGGCAAATGTAGCAGGAAGCTTTAGAAAACCCCTTGTTTAAAGAAGAAGTTTTTAGTAGTTGTTCACACATGAACCTGATCCTGTAAACAACAGGCAACTCTTCTCAGACACGAACTGCCACTTGCCCAAAAGGTCTGACCACTGGCAGATGCCAGGGATCCATTGCCTGTGCTAGAGAAACTCTGGATTAACTAGAGATAGCCTATTGCACACAAAATTTACTAAAGCAGACCTTTGGTATACAGGATAGTGTATGCATCTGTCATTTGCCTGTGTTTGAAAATGTATTTAATTGTGCATTTGAGCATCTGATTTTTTTAATGATAAGTTTCTAAATGAATAACTGAGCAAAGCCAGAATCACAACAGGGCAAACTAATGAAGTAACAAAAAGCACTCCATACTGATAAATCAATTACTAAAGTCTAAAATTCCAATAGCTTCTAAAGAAAAGTAATATGCAATGTATTCATTATCAGCTTAAGACAAATCAGATATTTACAGTAGTACATTAATATTTTCACAAAATATGCTCTAATTACCCAGTTACCCAGCACTCCAAACATACTTTACTTTTGTTATCAGGCTTACCTGATCCCTACTGCAGACCTCCCTTATGTTTTCACGCAGTATCCTTTAATACTGAGTGAATAATTCCCAATCATACATAGCACCACTGAAGGCTGTCTGTGTGCAGCTATTCTTTATCTCTCTTTACCAAAACCTGCTGAGCAGATATGCGTGCCCATCCCATGCCAGGAACGAGTGACAGCCGAGGGATGGCCTCTGGCATTTTGATGGCAGTGATCATCAACAGAGAAAGTCAGAGATTTGAGAAAGGTTAAAGTGTTTCTTTGTGCAGAGTTGTTCACCGTGACTGTTGTAGCTCACTTTGCTGGAAGAGGCTGACAGGAGTAGTGCTAATCACAAATGCACTCGGTGCAATGACCCCATTCAGGCTGCCCTCGTTTTGATGTAAACCAAACCTCCAACCTGATGCTGAACAGGCTGAGAAGGCTGTAGCACTGCCTGGCCCCTCTCTCACAAAACTTCTGCAGGTATTACAGTCCACCACAACAGCAGAAGGATGTGCCTCAGCTAAGACTTCATTAGAAACTGCAATCTACCCTTACATTCCTGAGA